CCCTTTTGTTCTTTGCAGTGATGGAAAGAATTAAGCTAGGAAGAGAAACACCCAATAGCTCAAAATGTCCCCTTCCCCTTCCTGCTATTACACAGTTTGCAATCTCTTATCTTTTTTTCCGATCAAAAGTGACTCTGTTTATGTGGCCAACAGCTGCAGTTACTTGCCAGTTTTGTACTTGCCAGTATTAATACTATTCTATATCAATGTAGCATGGACTTCGTTACCCAAGAGGGATGGGTTCCTGGCTACTAAACCTAATGCTGAATTTGGTGACTTCTTGTAAGCATGTCAAGCCAAAATTATTTGTTTATCTATGTATGCATGACATTAATTTTCGTTTTGCTTTTTCAATTGCCTGTACTGAAGGCTTTTATCCTTTCTAACTGGTATCTTGCTGTAAAACTGTCTCTTGCTTTAACTGTGCTATGCAGCTGCTGGTTGAAATATTCAAATCGAGTACATGTTCATTTGTATGACGCACCATTCTCACAGATCACTCACAATCACTCGCAATCACCGCCACCAGCATAGATACACATTTCAGGCCACACGAGTCCAAGTGACCCTTTCTCTTCCCTTTCCTCCTGTCTCTTGGAGCAAGGCAGCCACGATCAGAAAACACTTACCTTTGCTGGAATTGACTTATTTTTGTGTGTGTGCATTTCCTGTTACATTTCAGGGGTGTTCACATATAAACAACTCTGTTAGTCTTAGCTTTGATCCCCTTGTCCCCCTTAAATACTTTTCTTTATTTGTTCCACGGAAGTGGCAGGAGAGAAAACATGATTGCATGCCGCATACCACCACCCGGACATCATGCAAAGGGGAGGAAATGTAGGTCTGTTCCCTGAAGGGAAATGTACACCCCCCTGGTGCTGGAACTGAACTCATGTCTTCCCCAGAAATATTCACATCCTTTCTTTTCCTCCTTGGCTTTGCATGAGAAAGGAGAAGACACACAGTTCACTTACTCATCTTCTCATTTCTGTGGAACACTCTTTGCTGGCAACTCCATTTTTATTAATTAGAAAAAGGGCTGTATGAAATTAATGATCCATAGTTTGGTCAAATAAATGAACTGTGTTCTGGGCTTGTTCTGTCTCCCCTGTCTTGAGGTCAGTGCAGGGTTTATGAACCCTGCTGTCCTAGTTTTTGCCATCCAGAGTACTTTTATTAGATACTTTTCCATCCTAGAGTTCTGGTTTCGATCTGCTTTTTGCTAATACATTCTCACTGAATGAGTGTAATTTCTATATATCTTAGAAAATCTTTTTAGTTTTTAACATTTAAAAAACAAATTGGTTATTTTTAAAATGCAGATGAGCTGTGCTTACGCTAATGCTGCTACAGAAGGCAAGCCGGATTCTGTTTTGCCTTTTCTGGACTGATATATCACAATTTGACTAAAAACCTGCTTTTAATTTACTATGATGCAAGGAATGGCTGGAAACCCCCTCCCTCCCCCAATAGTTTTGAATTTTTAAAATTGGACTGTGTGCTTGATTGGCAGTTAAAAGCACTCCTCTTGAAATTCTATGGCTGTCCTAGAATGAAGCACAGTGCAATTATGATGGTTTTAATAAGGGCAAAGTAAACATGCAGGAAACAAGTAGATGGATTTTCTCGAAAGGCATGGCTGTCTTCATCTGTATGCACAGTGTGCGGGAAAACCTCAAAATGTTTAAATCCAGTTTGTGTTCTAATCTGGCCTTCAGAATCCCTTTAAAATCATTACATATATATACATAAAAATACACACACACACACTCACACCTCTGTTGCTTTAATATCAGTCTATAAAAGTTGAGTCTCTTCTCGCTCTCCCCCACCCCCCAGTATTTTGGACAGATACTAAACGTTGCATTAAACATCTCGAAATGCAAGCTTGCTTACACTTTGGTGTTCACTGGGTAGCAGTTAAACTACTTGAGCCCATTGGACCGTTCTGGCTTGGTTTTGTTATAAACTCACCCCTTACTAAAGCAGAGTTTCAGTTCAGCTTCTGTTATAATTGCAGAGGCACACTCTCCATAGATGTACAAGTTAATGCCACTGGAATCTATACATGAACCTGGTAGGGTCACTAAGCCACCTGCGGCACAGACACTTCCACATGTGATCGTGTACACCTTCCCGAGCATCTTAATGAGGTTCCTTCCATGAGTAGCCCTCATGGCTAGCTGTTAAAGACGAGGGACTTGGGGTCCACATCTACAAATCCTTATGCCCAACACATAGGCAACTTCACACACATGCAGACGTCCTCATGTTCCCTCATGGGGCAGGCCGAGTGCCAGAATCCCTCTATTTTTACTTCATGTTTGAGGTGAGACCTTTGTTCCTTTTGTCTTTTGTAAATGTAGTTTGAGAACATACCAGTTATAAAACTTAGAAAGTGCAACTTCGTGACTAAGGGCTTCCCTGCCCTTGTGCTTTTCTTCTAACAATGCATTCATTTTATTTCGAAGTTATTGTATACAGTTGTGTACTAGTGTCAATAAAATTGGCATTTGTGTAACAAGCTGTGATTTCTCTCTCAGATTTTCCTGAGCGTCCATTTAGCATGGAACTGTGGGTAAATTTATTTCATTAACATTAAAAAAAAAACACCCTACTTTGTGTAAGTATCTCATTCGCTTTGAGTAACTGTAGGGTACAGTATTTGATCTGGTCCTGACAAAAGATGCTGGAGACAAATATGACTCTTACTGGGCTGACATGAACATCTATACAAATTTTGACCCTCCTGATAAATAAATTGGATTTACCATGTCTATGTATATCCTGGGTAATGTTCCACTATTGATTGGTGTTCCTGCTGGTAGGAAACAAACAATTCAGTTAGATGAAACTTCTAATTATGTTTGCAATGTAGAACCTATTGTGTTGGGTACGTGGTTTTGCAGACGACATACACGCATACCAACTCTGGACATTGTTTGCTGCCTGACCTGTGCTCATTTCTCTTAATGAAGCGTTTGTTTTGTTTTGTTTTGAAAATGTGAAGCAAAATCAGTGAGAAGCATGAGGCTCAGAAGTGTTTGTGGACATAACTTCTCAGTTGACTTCTAGCTTCATGGGGACACGTGTAGATTTCAGTCAGCTTTCTGTCTTTCACACACCATCACCTGGCTATCTTGCAAGGACACATCTTAAAAGCATCTTTTAGCATCATGTTTTCACGTACCCACCATTGTGTACTCGTGTGCTTTTTAAAAAAAAAGTGTTATAAATGTAACGAGGCACACACGGCTGTGAATCTTTAAAGTTTTCCCATTATAAACATAACACCTTTTTGTGTGAATGTGATGTTAGCGTTTCCACCTCAAACAACCAGAGGAGCACGGAATAACTCGACAAGGTATACCTTGCTTTTGTTATTTGTAGGAAGAGGAACAGAGTAGTTTCTTCCTAATGTTTTAGATGTGACTTTGACTTAGCAAATCATATTTTTTTTCCGTAGAACCTGTTCCTCATAATGGCTCAGTTGAGACACTGTGCGAAACCATGATTTAATTGAACTGACTGTGGCTAGTGTGATTGATTGAATGCAGGCTGCTCCACTAACTGTGGTTGGTTGGAGTTCATCAGACTAGGAGCCACAGTTGAGTTATTAACCACATCTCAAATCTGTTAAAACATCTTCATTATGTTGTATTTGCTAATTTGCTGTTCACCCTCTACCTATAGGTACAGACTGATAACTTCCATTTCAGTGTGTCTGAGGAAGTATGGGTGCCCAGGAAAGCTCACACCTTGAATAAAACTTTGTTGATTTTAAAGGTGCCACTGGACCCAAACGTTATTAACCACAGTTAGTGTTAACTATGGTTTCATGTGGTGTCTGAATACAGAACCCCTAGCTTAATCCGGGTCTCATTTTGCTGTGCTTTCTGTGGACACTCTCCCAGGCTATAGAGATTAGGCAATCAAACCAGCATTTGTTGGGGAGAAACCAGGGTTTGAGTGCGTGTGTGAGAACGGAACCCTGCCTTCACAAGTGAGCTGTAGTTAAAGTAAACCATAGTTTTGTGTCATGTCTGAACTGAGCCACTGTCTCTTCTTTAGCAATCTCTGAAGTAATTTTAATGTTGCATTTTTGGGAGTTAAAATTTTTAGGAAGGTGAAAAAGCCCTGATAAATGTAGCATAATTCCTTTTATTTGTACAGTTCTTCTGTACTAAAATTAGCAGCCAAACACTGAAAGCTTTAACAGCTTTGGTTCTGTTTGCACGTTATCTTTCTCTTACATGCACCCCTGTGCAAAATGAAGGCAGGAATGAATGCTCCTCACACAGAAGGTGATGTTTGAACCTGGATGTGCCATTTATTTGAATGTGGGATTTACCTGTCCCAACCACTACTACTTCCTTTCCAAGTCTAGATACATGATCCTGAAGATCCTGCCTTCAAAGGTGTAATCTTCTAGTTCAGATGTTATCTTCTACCTTCGGTGAAGTGAGAAGGGGAAAAGCAAGGGTGGATCAGGGAAGAATCACGCAGGCCTTGAAATCTTTTTGCCAATCCTTTTGTGCATTGAGGCGGTGATAAATAAAATCCAAACAGGGCCACTGTCTTTCACAGCAGATTCACCTGGATACTGTAAACTGTACTTGAATTGGTGAAGACTACAAATTTTGAAAACCTTTGTAGCTAGAACCGCCTGCCTTTGAACAGGCTGCGGGTCATCCAGTTTTATTCCCTTGCTGAGCCTAGCGAAAGTAACGCAATCCTGTGCCTAAGTTGAAAAAAGAGCTGTATGCGATCTAAGAATAAAAATGAACCCATCCTCCATAGCTGCTTCACCATGAACTCTGAAATCAGTTTATCACATCCTACTAAGATAGCATAATATTAAACAGGCAGACACCTTTTCCACCATTTCCTCATGCAACATGAGCATTGCTCTGGTCCACCCTGTGCACACACTATGCTAAGGTGGATACTGAATTGTTCTGGGAAGCCGCATTCTCAATGTCGTTATGTTCTTCCTTCAGCAGGCTCTCTTGCCGGCAGCCCTCACCTTTCAGAACTGTCAATCAATTCCCAAGGAGGACCACCCATGGCCCATGTGACGCTATCTCCCAATCTGAGCCCTGATAATAGGCAGGCTTCTCCATTGGTCAGCCCTCTGCTGAACGACCAGACTGGGATTCGAACGGATGATGAAGAGGAAGTCAGGAGAAAGGTATCGATGCTGGTGCTCCCCTTGTTCCCCTTTTTTATTAGGATACGTGGCCGTGCCTTGCATCTTTGGGCTCGAGCAATTCTCACTTCCTCGACCGGGACTCAGTCCAGCCTCCTTTTGTTACAAGGAGCTGGATGCTGCTGATTTTCACCTCTGGCATTCCCTGGGGAAAGGGGTCTTCTGAATGCCTTTTTGATGGAAACTGAATCTTTGATACACTTGCTTTTCCACTGAAATACAGCCCTCCACACAAGAATGAGATCTGTTGTGGGGGGGTTTAGCCTTAAAACACTGGGGGGAAGTTATTAGTGTTGTCACAAAAGTGTCTCGAATTATGCATTTTGAATAGGCAGCTTCTGCCTTTTCAGACTGTGTAGTTGTCAGCGGGAATCCACAAGTGTGTGAGGCCGGATCTACCCATAAATATCTTCTCCCCTCATCTTTTTAAATGACAGTGTTAACTTTTTGCTTGAGGTGGTTTTTCAGGGCAGAAGGTGACGGAATCCTCCTCAGGTTCCCTGATGCTGAGCGTTTGCACAGCAGCATGATCTGCTATAGCCCTTGTAGGACTCTACCACTTCAGACTGAAGTGCCACATTTGGAATGATTTACTGTAGGACTGTACCACTGTAGGACTGTACCACTTCAGACTGAAGTGCCACATTTGCACAGTTTAAGAAGAGCTTCCTGCACACGGAAGGCAAATTGTATAGTAAAAGCTTTGTTAACCTGCACTTGCGTATCCAGAATGCTCCGTCAGAGGACAAGCTCCTCCCCTAAGCCACCGTACCTCTGTGTGTTTGGTTGCATGCTCTGCTCTGCCTCCCCAGCCAGCCAGATTCATCCACCCATGGCCCATGTGACGCTATCTCCCAATCTGAGCCCTGATAATAGGCAGGCTTCTCCATTGGTCAGCCCTCTGCTGAACGACCAGACTGGGATTCGAACGGATGATGAAGAGGAAGTCAGGAGAAAGGTATCGATGCTGGTGCTCCCCTTGTTCCCCTTTTTTATTAGGATACGTGGCCGTGCCTTGCATCTTTGGGCTCGAGCAATTCTCACTTCCTCGACCGGGACTCAGTCCAGCCTCCTTTTGTTACAAGGAGCTGGATGCTGCTGATTTTCACCTCTGGCATTCCCTGGGGAAAGGGGTCTTCTGAATGCCTTTTTGATGGAAACTGAATCTTTGATACACTTGCTTTTCCACTGAAATACAGCCCTCCACACAAGAATGAGATCTGTTGTGGGGGGGTTTAGCCTTAAAACACTGGGGGGAAGTTATTAGTGTTGTCACAAAAGTGTCTCGAATTATGCATTTTGAATAGGCAGCTTCTGCCTTTTCAGACTGTGTAGTTGTCAGCGGGAATCCACAAGTGTGTGAGGCCGGATCTACCCATAAATATCTTCTCCCCTCATCTTTTTAAATGACAGTGTTAACTTTTTGCTTGAGGTGGTTTTTCAGGGCAGAAGGTGACGGAATCCTCCTCAGGTTCCCTGATGCTGAGCGTTTGCACAGCAGCATGATCTGCTATAGCCCTTGTAGGACTCTACCACTTCAGACTGAAGTGCCACATTTGCACAGTTTAAGAAGAGCTTCCTGCACACGGAAGGCAAATTGTATAGTAAAAGCTTTGTTAACCTGCACTCGCGTGTCCAGAATGCTCCGTCAGAGGACAAACTCCTCCCCTAAACCTCTGTGTGTTTGGTTGCATGCTCCGCTCTGCCTCCCCAGCCAGCCAGATTCATGCCTCCAGCCGTTACTGGGTTTTTGACCATCAGCACAGCTAGCTGAAGTCATCCTCAGGTGCCTCCCCTTCCCTCAACCTACTTTGAGCCGCAGAAAACCAGCTGTGCCCAGTGTTCCCTCTAAGCTGAGTTAGTGTGAACTAGCTCACAGTTTTTTAGCCTCCAGCTCATACGTTTTTTGGAAGGATGGTTCCAGAGCAAACTAATTTATGTAGTAGCCAAATGCCAGTAGTTCACAAAGTAGAATATTTGCTGACAAGATTCCCCAGCTTAGAGGGAGCATTGGTTGTGCCAGAGCGTTCCTGGGCAGTGGGCCCACTTATCTGCCTCCAGGGGGAAGGGGAAGGGTCCCACCAAACATTTGGGGTTGTCACCTTGGCATTTCCAGTGGAGTGGGGTCTGGTCACTGGGCATTCTGATGGGTGGAGCGGTAAAGCGGTATGTTTGAGGATCTGGCACATTTGGTTAGCCTGCAGCCCCTGGTCTCCATGAGTGCTGGTTCACAAAGTTTTTACTGGACTAAGAAATACATGTGTACACCCCCACCCCGAATCCTTTGCCGTTGCCACCCTGCTCAATAGTGTCAGGCGCCTTGTTTGTGTTTTTTCCTTGAGCAGTAGAAGTGCTGCCTTAAGGGGCCAGTTAAAAAGGTAAAGGTTCCCTTGCTCGAAAGCCAGTCGAATCCGACTCTAGGGTTGCGGTGCACATCTCCGTTTCAAAGCCGAAGAGCCAGCGCTGTCCGAAGACGTTTCCGTGGTCATGTGGCCGGCATGACTAAACGCCAAGGCGCACGGAACGCTGTTACCTTCCCACCGAAGTGGTCCCTATTTATCTACTTGCAATTTCTTGCTTTCGAACTGCTAGGTTGGCAGGAGCTGGAACTAGAGACGGGAGCTCACTCCGTCATGCGGCACCAAGGGGGCCAGTTAGGCTGATCCTAATCTGTTGTGTGATCATCATAGAGAAAAAGCAGAGTTTAGCTCTGTTTCTCAAGGAAGACAAAATGTGAAAGAAAAAAATGGAAACCCAAGATTTCCTTGGCGATAGCTGCAGTATGGTACATCCTAGCTATACATCATCCTCCAATCCTGAGTGTGCTTACGTGGACATTAAACCTCTCACTGAACTCAAGGGAATGTTCTGAGTAAACATGCTTAGGATCAATCTTATCGTGAATAGAAGGTACTGTTTTATACTCTGACACA